CTTCTCTTCACTGATTATATTTTTTGTGACACTTAGACTCTGTCAAAATGTTTAAACATAGCTTAGTAGTGATTTGCTCAACATTTTTTATTTTTCTGAGCACAGTCAATGAGTTTAATATACAAAATAATATACTAGAATCCAACAAATATGAGGGTATCACTATCAGCCTTCAATGTCAGTAGTTCCTTCTCTTAAATTAAAAAAAAATCGTGTTTAAGAACTATTCTTCCATTTATCTGTTATCTGGCGTCATCTAAGGACAGACTTCTTATATTTGATATAATTTTAAAATACAGTAAAAAAAATTCGTCTTAATCTCATATATACATTATACGAAATTTATAATTTGACATTACTATTTGTAAGGACTAAAATTGGGCTAAAAGTTTTTATAGATGTTATATATCAGGATTTTTTTTCCTTGCACATATAGCTCACTTTTATTTAAAAATCATACCTCTCATCAGGTAATTCTATTTTGAACCCTAACTCATATTCAGTACTTTCTGATAGTTCAGCTTTTTCCTTAAGCTTCAATATAAATGATAATCATGAAAATTTTGGAGACCCAGTTGCTACATCATCACCAAAACCACCAGTAACGAAGCAATTAAAAAATAAGAATATTAATAGACAAAACTCATTAAGAGTTCTTCAGATCAATTTTAGAAGTTGTAAAAATAAAGTTCCTCAAATTGAAAATTTATTAACGTCATCTAAACCAGATATTATTATTGGTAATGAAACTTGGCTAAACAAAGATGTATTATCTTCTGAAATTTTTCCAAACACACTATTTGAAGATGTATTCCGAAACGACCGGGTCGGAAAAGAAGGTGGAGGTGTATTAATGGCCATTAAAAAAGGTATTATTTGCCAAGAAGTATATAAAAGCAAAAATGTAGAACTTATTGCTGCCCAAATTAATATAACTGATACTAAATCCTTAGTTATTATTTCTGCATATAGACCACCAAATAAAAATGATATAGACTATCTCAAACAAATTATCATTGAAATTAATGAACTTAAATTAAAATTTAAAAATTCCACCTTCTGGCTTGGTGGTGACTTTAACCTTCCAGACATAAAATGGCCGGAGCAAAATATATCTGGCTCATTGTATACTAAGGAGCTGAATGAAGCATTTATAGATATGCTGAACAACTTAGGCATTGAACAAATGGTTGATTTTCCAACTAGGAAAGATAATATCCTTGACCTTTTCTGCACAAACCAACCTGCATTGATAACAAAAATAAAATCCATACCAGGTATATCTGACCATGATATTGTATTAGTGGATGCAATCTGCAAGCCCCAAAGATCTAAACAATCACAACATAAAATTTATTTATGGAAAAAGGTTGATATTAAAAAGATAAAAGACATAACATCTCATTTTATATCTGAACTTATATCTCAGGCTAATGAAAATTTAAATATTGACCAATTATGGAATAAATTCAAAGAAGGTAGTAATAAAATAATAGATGATAATGTACCAAGCAAAATAACTAAATCTAAGTACACCAACCCTTGGGCAAATAGGGATATAGACCATTTATGTAAAAAACAACGTAAAGCTTACAACAAAGCTAAAAAAACTGGTAAACAAGAACATAAAGATAAATATAAAAAGTTAAAAGCTACTGCTCAAAGAGAAATAAGAAGAGCCCAGAGCACGTACATGCAAGAAATAATTAGCCCCCAGTTTGAAGAAAAACCTAAATCTTTCTGGCAATTTATAAAAAGTAAAAAAACAGAAACATCTGGTGTTTCACCATTAAGAGGAAAGGATGGCTTATTATATAGTGAGCCGAATACACAAGCTAACATCCTAAATGAACAATTTAAAAAGGCTTTTACTACCGAAGATACATCCTCTATGCCAAATAAAGGTACAAGTCCCCACCCCACTATGCCAGACATATTTATTAGTAATAATGGCTTATTAAAGTTACTTAAAAACTTAAATCCACACAAAGCCACTGGCCCTGATAATCTGCCAGCATATTTTTTACATAATTTTGCAGAAGAATTGTCTCCATTTTTGACATTCTTTTTCCAAAAATCTATTGATACTGGTAAAATCCCAACTGATTGGAAGCAGGCTAATGTTGTACCAATATTTAAAAAAGGTGACAAGCATAACGCTATTAATTATAGACCAGTTTCACTAACTGCAATATGTTGCAAATTTCTAGAACACATTATAACAAGCAACATAAGGAAACATCTTACAATTAATAACATATTAAATGATAGTCAACATGGGTTTAGAAGTAAAAGGTCTTGTGAGACCCAACTTATCATCAGTTTACAAGATCTTGCAAAATCATTGGGATATGGTAACCAAATAGATGTTATACTTTTAGATTTTTCCAAAGCTTTCGATAAAGTCCCCCATCAAAGATTAGCCCAGAAATTAAACTTTTATGGTATTAGGAATCAAAATTTAAATTGGATAAATGACTTTTTAGCTGACAGGCAACAGCAGGTACTATCAAATGGTGTTAAATCTTCAAAATTAGCTGTTGATTCTGGTGTCCCTCAGGGAACAGTTTTAGGCCCAACATTATTTTTACTCTTTATTAATGACCTACCCGAACATGTAACTTGCAATGCAAGACTTTTTGCAGATGACTGTTTATTGTATAGAAATGTTAATAATAGTTCTGATGCCAAATTACTTCAAAAAGATTTATCTAGTTTAGTACAATGGGAAGAGGACTGGCAAATCAATTTAATACTGAGAAGTGTTATGTTATTCATATTTCTAAAAAAGTAAACCTTCCACTTTTGATTATATATTGCACAATCATGTTTTAGAAGCAGTAAAAGATAGTAAATATTTAGGCGTAACTATAAGCCATGATCTTGATTGGGGAACACATATAAACAATATTACCTGTAAGGCAAATAAAACCTTAGGTTTTCTTCGTAGGAACTTAAAAAACTGCACACGTAAGGTTAAAAACCTTACCTACACATCACTTGTCCGTCCAGTCGTCGAATACTCTTCCCCTGTATGGGATCCGTACAAAAAGCAACACATCACTCAGGTTGAGCAGGTACAGCGTAAGGCAGCCAGGTTTGTCTTCAATGATTATAAAGACAGATCACCTGGAGCAGTTTCAAATTTTATTAAATCATTGGAATGGGAAAATTTAGAAATAAGAAGGAAAAAAGCTAGATTAACTATGCTATATAAAATAAATTGGGGGTTAGTGGAAGTTCCTAAGGACAATTTAACAATATCTGATAGACGTACTAGGGGGAAACATAAATTTAGGCAAATATCAACAAATAAAGATTTCTATAAATTTTCTTTTTATCCTCGCACTATTTCGGACTGGAACTCACTACCTGAAGCAATAGGTATGTCTGACACCCTGGAATCCTTCAAAAGTGGCATATCCACTCTAACATTTGAAGGAGCCACAACAACTTATTAAACTACAAAGCCACTGTACATAATGTATATATGTTATTGTTAATGATTTTTCTTTGTCATATTATTTTTAAATTAAGTCCATATGTACATAGCACACAAGTTCCGGGAAGTTTTACACTTCTACCTAGGAGTCTACTCCCGTATTCGAAAGAAGAAGAAGAAGAAGAAGAAGTAATAGTTGCACAGTGCAGAAACCGGAAGTTGAAGAACAGGATCGGCTACCATGGCGCCACCTATTCAGGAACGATAATTTGCTACTTATATAACTGCGGAATAACAATAACGTTAGACGGGTTCGCGTGCATAAACAGAAATGCGCTTTAAACTGTATAATATAATTCATGTTCAGTCGACCTTTAATTATTATATCAACGACTGAAATGATTTATAAACATCTAGATTGCAGATAACACTCGAAATTAACCCGACCTCTTTCAACACGGAATTCAAATAATTCTAGTTTGTCAATCGGTTGACTGCTTATAATGTAAAATACAAATATATCAAAAGTTTTTAAAACTAACAAAACACAATGATCGTTTCTCTATTTCCCAATGTAAATGAAATGAAACAAAGAACATTTTATATCACAATAAGAAGAGGAGAGAATCAACATTTTCCGGATCTACTTGGAGCCTAATGACCCCCCACGTAGATAAGTTGGATATCGCGGAAAGAAAGATTAACACGGCAACTAGAAAGGCATTAAAGCACTGCCTTTAAAAAGCACAAAAGGGCTCTGGTGGATAGTTGTCTAGCTGACAATCATACCACTCCTTATTTTTAAGATTTTTAATTTCTTAAGCAAATGATTTTGATTACATTATCTTCATCATAAGAATGAAAATGCAATGAATAAGCGAGTTTGTTCAATTGGATTTCCACGAAAACAAGGATCTAAATCAAGTAGTCAAATGGTGGCAATAATTAAACCGGAATCCTAGCTCATAAATGAGGCAAAGCTGATTAATTTAGAGGCAATAGTTAACTGATATTCACATTCCATGAGTACTTTAATAACATACTTTGTAAGTCAACTCGAAGGTAAAACACAATAAACTGTTGACACAGAGAGATGTCTCGCCTGTCAGCAGAAAATTTGAAAAAAAGACAATCTGATGGACAACAACATTGCTTTTTGTTTCAAAGTCACTGAACCATGATATAGTGGGCAGGGCCTCAAAATAGTTGTCAAACAAATATTTAATGATAGTAATGCAACTTTAAACAAAATATTATTGATCTATCACAAGAAGTTTAAAACTGACTTAAGCAGAAAACTTAACAATTGTTGGTGCATCCACCACTGCCAACACTGCTTGAAAAGCAACACCTATGTCTCGCTTTCTGCAACTTTCCTTGCTGGTGACACAAAAACAGAGAACCCAGGCTACTCCAAGAATATTTTAATATACTCAAACCTCTTAATTGATACCTCTAAATAGTGGACACCTCTATTTTACGGCCTTTGCAGCAAGGGCAGCCTTATAATGAAGGAACTTCTGTAATTGATTACATTGTAACTACAGTTTATACATACTTTATAATAATGCCACCTTGAAGTGAGAACTTGTGAGTTTCTCCCCATGTATATTTCAGCAGAGATATCTTTACATGTAGTTTCTCTAAAGTTAAGGACATAGTATATGTACAAGGATCTATATAGATCTTGGACATGATGGCGTGACTGATTAACTTGACGTCCATACAGCATGATAAAGCAGAACAGCTTGGTGGTATTACACAGGATACTGATGAAGGTAAGGACAAGGTCAAATAACTACTAGTACATTCTGTAACAAAAACAAATTAAACAGCTTTTTGAAAATGTGTATAATCAAATGTTTTAGAAAACACTTGGTTTCATCTGACTGACATGATCAAATCTGTTAAACTAAGTTTCATTGAAATAAAAGAATACCAATGCACATATCTGTCAAAGAACAGTAACTTTAATTTTTGTTGTTGTTATTTCAAACTTTTTAAAAAATATCTTACAAGAAATGTAGACATGATATAGCTTTCAATGCATTTTTTCATATAATTTCTATTTCTAAGGGGCATAAATTCTGTAAAATTAGTTGATCGAAGCTGACTATTGAACTCTTTCAAAACCTTGCGGATATGAATTTCATAATAATCTAACAAGAATTGAACACATGAAAGCACTCACAAGACTGAATGTATGGACACTTTGAAACTCAGACATAAGCGCAGTCTCAATATGTCCCCTGCACTAAGTTGCAGCAGGGGACAATAGAAATCTTTCTATATAAAAAATCACTGTAAATTCTTCAAAACCATGTTATTTTAAAAATAAAAAAACTGCACATTTTGATGCCTGGTTCTGTTATTTATTCTGTTATTTTGATTGGTGTTTGCTTTATGCCACCTCAGCATATTCTGTTATATATATAGAATTGTTCACAAATTTATCCTTTGGTCTTTATGGTTGTTTCATTGGTGGCAACCATACTACATCTTCCTTTTTACTTTATTATTAGTTCCAGTAAAGAACTTACCATTGACAAATGGATTAGTTGTTACATTACATGGAGAATCTAATAGAAAATCACTCAGTCCAAGTTTCTCTAGTAAAATCTGTCTAACTGCTGTAGGTAACTGCTCTGATAAAGTTTCTTTCTGTTCTTCCAACATCTTTGTTAGGGAAAAATCTATTAATGCATAAAGAAATTATTCCAAAATTGTAGCTTTGTAAACATTTCTTTTTAAGAAATTCTAAAAATCAGTTATGTATGTGTATATACAATTATGAATTCCTGAGGACTGATGGAATCATAAAGAATAAATTATGCAATTATTCTAAATTGAGTAAACTGAAAGAAAATGATTTTTTTAAACAACAGATTTATGTCTACATAAAAGTTCTAAGAGGGTTCATTGATGGTGCATACCTTCTATAATGATAGGTATCAAATGAAAGTTCATTTAGTGAGCATGCTCACAAACCCGACTACCCTCTCCCCTTGTAAAAGGGAAGAGCTTACAACAACCTGCTCACATGTGTTTTGTTTACTTTTAGGTATTTTTCTGATTATTGAATTTTCAAGTGTCAAACTTTGGATTTATACCTTAAATAATATTTAATCATTTGCCAGTAAAAGATAATGCAGGTAATACATGGGAAATTAAAATCCCGTGCCTAAATACTCTGAAAGTTTTAAGTAATACCTTTAATATTAAATCCTGTTCCAGAGATAAGTTAAATGTACATTACACCTAGATTATTTAATGCTGTGCATAATTTACAGAAAAGTTTCAATAATACCTTGAATATCAAACTCTATATCAGAGTCCAAGAAAACTTGTGTTCAATTCTTGTAATAATCAAATCTTGTGCCCTCCATATTCTCAGTAACAAAAAACTTATTTGATACCTAGAAAATTAAATTGTGTACCCCTCCTCATTCTCAGTTACAGAAATCTTATGGGAACATCTGGAAAAATAAATCTTGTGTCCCCATTCCTCAGTAACAGAAATGTAATGGGTATACCTGAAATAATAAATCTTGTGTCCCTCATCAATAACCAAAATTTCATGAGACTACCTGGAATATTAAATCCTGTACTCCAGTCACAAAATGCTTATGGGACTACTTGGAATATTAAATCCTGTATCCCTGTCATACAGAAAACTTATGTGAATAACTGGAATATTAAATCCTGTGCCCCACTCACAAAAAACTTATGGTAATAACTGGAATATTAAATCCAGTGGCCGTGTCATACAGAAAACTTATGGGAATACCTTGAATATTAAATCCTGTGCCCCACTCACAGAAAACTCATGTGAATACCTGAAATATGAAATAATAAGCTCTAGTTGTAGACCACTAATGTGAATACCTGGATAAATATATCCCGTGCCCCAAACACAGAAAACTTTTGTGCATACCTGGATTATTTAATCCTGTGCCTCAATCAAAGAAAACTTTTGTGAATACCTGGATTTTTAAATCCTGTTCCCCAGTCACAGAAAACTTTAGGTAATCTGTAACCATTGAATATGTTCATGGCAAAGTAACAACTTTTCTGTGATTCAAAACAAATACTCATGTTCAAATCTATCTCATACTCCTGATCAGCTGATATGTCTTCTATCCTGTACCTTAAAAAAATAGATAGATTTTCAATTGTCATGCCCACAGAACAATTTCAAAGTGTTCAATTTAGGGAAGTTAATTAATTAAAATTATTTGGAAATTTGGTGCTGATGACACTTTGTGTAAAGAATAATTCACACTTTGTAAAGGCTCTGGTAGTCAGATGCTGCTCTGATTTCTGATGGCCTTTATAGGACTGTTGGGGCAATATGGACGTCAGATCCCAGTCCATACAAAAAACATAGAAATTGCCAACCCAGATTTGGGGCAATAATTGACCTATTTTCAAGAAGATAAATCATTCATCATTTAATTCCTTACTCATTTTACTCCACGAATATGTAACTTTTATTCATTTGCTAACTCACTAAAAAAATTGGAAACTTTTTTAAATCAAAATGTAAAGTTTTAACTAAATTTATCAAAGTATACTCAAGTCATGGTACAACATATGAAAAACTAATTTAAATCTGACAGTCAAAGTCCAGTAATTATAGAATGACAAACAAGAAAATATTCAAAATCAAAAGGTAGTTTCCTTTAAGAAATCTCAATACTGTGTAAAGTTTTGAGTAAATCAATCTAATCTATCAAATTTAATGTATTGACAAATATGACATCGAAAACCAGTAAGAACAAACATGAAAACAATTTACTTACTCTATTCTAATAACGTTCATGAGGTATTTCTTTTCAAGAGTACCTACAATAAAAGACAAATATGAATTTCATTTCATTATTACAGTAATACACAATATGTTTTGTAATGCTTGTACATATTTTTATTAGGATGTCCCTTTTTTGTATTTTATCCTATCAGCATTTGGGTTTTCATTCACTTCTGTATGTGCTTCTCATTAACCAATTGTTTTTCAAGATCAAAGTAATTAGCCAAACAGAAATTATATGTTTTAATTACTGTGGATTCATTTATTTTTGTGGGTACCAATTTTCTTGAATTAAGGGGAAAATGTATTTTTGAGGATATTTGGTTTTGTGGTTTTGCCAAAGTCTGCATACAAGTCTATAGAAAATTTATATTTTGTTGAGGATTTAAATTTGTGATTCACGATTACCCACAAAATCAACACAAGAGTGCACACGCTGAAATGTCTCGCCTGTTTTACTGACCATTGATCTTAAGCTGAAAGTCTTAAAGATAAAGGTTTTACTACAAGTATCACATAAACTTAACATTCTTAAAGATCCATGACAATGAGGTCAAGGTCAGATAAAAACTGTCACACAGACATGTACACCTTACAATTATTCCATACACCAAATATAGATGACCCATTGCTTATGGTAATCGAAAAACAAATCAAAACACAAAAACTTAATGTTATCCAATGAACCATGGAAATGAGGTCAAGAGACAGACATGTACCCCTTACAATTATTCCATACGCCACATATAGCTGACCTGCTGCTTGTAGTATCTGAGAAACAGACCTATTCACGTAACTTTAACCTTGATCACTGATCCATGAATTGAGGTCGATGTCAGGATTACCCTGTCTGACGGACATGTAGACATTGCAAGGAACCCATATACCAAGGCTGAAATGTCTCGCCTGTTTTACTGATCATTGATTTTATGTTGAAAGTCTTAGAGATAAAGGTTTTACTACAAGTATCACATAAACTTAACATTCTTAAAGATCCATGACAATGAGGTCAAGGTCAGATAAAAACTGTCACACAGACATGTACACCTTACAATTATTCCATACACCAAATATAGTTGACCCATTGCTTATGGTAATCGAAAAACAAATCAAAACACAAAATCTTAATGTTAACCAATGAACCATGGAAATGAGGTCAAGGTCAGATGATACTGGCTAGACAGACATGTACACCTTACAATCGTTCCATACACCAATTATAGTTGACCTATTGCTATTAGTATTTGAAAAACAGACCAAAACACAAAAACTTAACATTGACCAATGAACCATGAAAATGAGGTCAAGGTCAGATGACACCAGCTAGACAGAATGTACACCTTACAATCATTTCATACATTAAATAAAGTTGACCTATTGCTTAAAGTACTTGAAAAACTGATCAAAACACAAAAAATTAACAATGACCAATGAACCATGAAAATGAGGTCAAGGTCAGATGAAACCTGCCAGTCTGACATGCACCCCTTAAAATCATTCCATACGCCACATATAGTTGTCATGCTGTGTAGTATCTGAGAAATGGACCTAATCATGTAACTTTAACCTTGATCACTGATCCATGAATTGAGGTCGAGGTCAGGTTAACCCTGTCTGACGGACATGTAGACGTTGCAAGGAACCCATATACCAAATATAGTTATCCTATTACTCATAATAAGTGAGAAATTCACATGACAAAAAAACAATAACTTTTTTTCAAGCAGTCACTGAACCATGAAAATGAGGTCAAGGACAACAGGAATATGACAGAAGGAAACTTCCTAACATAAGGTATCTGCATACAAGGTATGAAGCATCCAGGCCTTCTACCTTCTGAAATATAAAGCTTTATACAAATAGTTTACGCCGTCGCCGCCGCATAGTAAGGGATCATAGATTTATTCTTACGAGGAAGCTCTGAGCATGCTCGGAGGATGCTCGGAGCTTTTTAAGTAGGCTCTTCTCAGCAGTTTATGTGACAATAATTATCATGATCCATTAAGATGTCAATCAAATCTATAGCACTTTTATAATAAGGAAAGTAGAGCATTATAGAGGAAGCTCCATTAACACCTGTGTAAACATCTGGTCTATTCAAACAAATCTTGCATTAATTTTACAAAACTATAAAATAGATGAGAAATTCTTCAATATTACTGTACAATGCTTGGTATCAAGTCTTCACAGAAAGAAAATGATTTTAAACATTTTCTTAATAATCATCATTCTTTAAAAAACGCTCAAATTTTATATTTGAAATATAAATATATTTTAAATTTATACTATATAAAATGAAATATAAAAGTCATCAAAGACACAAACTATGGTTATTGATTTATTACCATACTACCAAAACATGGTACATTCAGTTTCATGCGAAAAAGGGTTGATCTTTTTTTATATTCCATTTAATTTGACAGTTGTTCGAAATTATCCCTCCATTTCATTGCAGAAAAGTTTTTTTGAGTCATAAACATGTTTCTTGGGTGTTTCAAAGCAATAAAAATATACTATATTCTATAGGGAAAAAAGGGGGAGAGAATTTGATTGGTTAACTTCTGGTGATGTTTACTTTCTTATATCATTGTATATGCACTGAAAAGTTATGCTATATTTTCACTGTAGTACAGTACATTTATTTATGTCAAGTATTTCTTTATTTAAAACATAGATAAATTCTGCACATTTTTTTTGAAATATAACAATCATGACAATTAAACAAGGACATATAGGGGGAAAATAATTTTACTCATGCCAAGTATTTCTTTATTTAAAACAAAGCTAAATCTGCACAATTAAAAAAAAATTCCAAGTAAAGAGAGACTTACTAGAGGGAAAACAATGGTGGTATTACCCCCTCAAACCAGGCTTCCACTAATGAATTACAACTTTTCTTCAAGTAGCCATAATTTTCTATAAAAGAACTTAGTTTGCTATTTTATAAAAAAAAAACATATTACCATTGTTTAGTTAGGGGCATTACTTAAACAAGTAATTTTCAAAATTACCTATACAAGTTATGTTGAAAACGAGGCTGTTTCAAATATAACTTCTATATCATGAATAAGTAACTTCTGTTAATATTATTTTTATAGGTGTCCATTCATACAGGTTTTACTATCTTTAACAAATTTTCACAGACATCTGGTTATTTTCCCCATGAAACTATTTAAATCCTCAACAACACTAATTGCTTTTCTGATGCCACACTTCTTGTTGGTCAAAGATTAGCCTCTTGGGGCTATTAAAATATCATTTCCCCTTAGAATCTTAGAGATAGACAGTTATCACTAGATATGGAACCTTTAACTTGAAATTATTTATAATTTGAATCTTAATCAAAAGCAATTACATATATTCCTTAAATAATTGTAAGTACTAAGTTTTTTGAAGTTGTATAAAATAATTTATTAAAGTAATATTTTTGTCATTATTTTTTAAAGTAACCTCTCTATACTTATCTAAAATTGGATAAATACTTAATTTTATTTAATGAAATGATCTAAAAATTCTTAAAAACTAAATTTAGTCCATGCTTTATTTGACATTAAAAATAATTTGAGTTATTAAATAATTTTTAAAAACAAAAAATACTTATAAAAGTGACTAAAAAAAATTGCTTGTTTAGTATCGACACCTGACTGCTGTTTGTGTCTTGATAACTTTTATGTAGCATATTATATAATATAAACTATTTTTAAATCATATCATCTAATTATAAAAATTTGAGAATTTTTTTATTATAAAAAAAGGAATGATTATTAAATATAATAAGAAAATATTTAAATGACTTTTACTTTTTGTGGAGACTTAATATTTCTTTCAAAGCATTACACAGCACAGTTGAAGAATTTCTAATCTATTTTATAGTTTTGTAAAATTTCATGTAAAATGTATTTGAATAGACCAGATGTTTACACAGGTGTTTATGGAGCTTCCTCTATAATGCTCTACTTTCCTTATCATAGAAGTGGTGTAGATTTGATTGACATCTTAATGGATCATGATAATTATTGTCACATTAATAACTGAGAAGAGCCTACTTAAAAAGCTCCGAGCATCCTCCGAGCATGCTCGGAGCTTCCTCGTAAGAATAAATCTATGATCCCTAATACCTATGTCTCTCATACTGCGACGAATAGGTGAGACACACAATTGGTATCCCTTGAATAATAATGAATCCACAGTACCCAATCAGTGCTTAATTAACAGGAATATTGTTGGCACATGCACCTAATAATTTCTACAGCATCCCTTGCTTGGAGAAGACATCAAATTTCTTCACTACCTTTATATAGTAACCAGTTTGTATATCTTGGTCCCTGACTGATTTCTGATCAGTGTAAATCAGATGCTTTATCTGCACTGTCATTTCTCACCGTTCTGAGCGGTCTCCAAGGGATGGTGAACTGTGTTATTGGCACCACTGGCCTTATATCAAAAGCATTCAGATATTGAAGATCAGGAGGGACAGGTTTTGTGGATTGATTAAGAAAATAAGTAAAATAAACTTTAGTTCCGATTTATCATCAATCCCAGGCATGAATACATAATTACTTATTTTATGTATCCATGACTTACAAGTTTTAATCTATATTATGGTAATGACAAGTCTTTTCTAATTACTCCAACTAAAACTGATCACACATACCCCACTGATAGTCAAAAAGATCAATCTGTTCAGTTAGCTTCTCAATACCAAACTTAAGGTAGTGATTACAGGTATCTATCTCCACAAAGGTTGAAAATGATTTTTTCAGAAATCCAACATCCATACAACATTTCACACCAGTACAAGTATCATCTAGTACACACACAGCTGTATTTGGTAGAGCTGGCAATGACAAGGTCTGTTCACATTCTATAAGAAAGGAAAATTTCAAAAACTGACAAAACATTTAGGGACAATACAAATTGTCAGATATATCTTCCTATATATGACCCTTACCTTATGTGAAGTTGTCTAAGGTAATATAACCTTGGTTTTCATGATTGATTGATTGCTGCTTACTTTAAAATGTCCAGAGGCAAATATTACATGCATAATCAGGATTAGAATGAAATAAACTTTAGTGAACAAGCTAACATAAACTTAAGTTCGAGAACGAAAACAAAAATACAACATTTTTTTCATTTGTAAAGGGGCATAGCTCTAGAAGGGTAAAAGTGACGCCACCCAAATTCAGACTTGATCTTTGTTTGTTGTAACAAACATGGTGTATAGTTTCATAACATTTGCTTGAGGCAACCTTAAGTTAGAGAACAGAAACCAATTTCAGGACATACCTACGGATGACGAACGGGAGGAAAAACAGTCAAGGGAATCACTACATGCCCCCTTTGCCTAGTGGCAGGCACATAAAAATTGTCCCCTATTTCATATTGTCTGATTATTGAACTCATTCAAAGTTTTGAAGAGTGGAAAACTTCAATCAAATGGAAGAGGATACGATAAAAATTGAAGGCACTATCTCAGGGATTAACAAAACCAATACAGGGTCTGGACCTGTGTCACTGCCATTGATTGAGGTAACATATATACTGGAGCAAAACTGATCATTTCCATTCACTGAAGCCAGGAAAACTTTAAGAAAAATTTTCCTTGTACAATGAGTGTTGTAAAATTTCCAACTATCTGAAAAACAAGAAGTGGCTACACAGTAGATATAAAAATTGGTTACTCGCTACAACTCAACATTGTGAAGCTGCAGACCAAATATTACACCATTCCCTTCAATAGGAGCCCAGAAACTTTGACAAAAATTTTCCTTATACAATGAGTGTTACAAAATTTCAAACTATCTGCAATCAGGAAGTGGGTACATCGCAAAGGAAAAAAAATGCTTAAGTGCTACAACTCAACACTATAAAGCTGCAGACCAAATATTAAATCATTCCCTTTTATAGAAGACAAGAAAACTTTGACAAAAGATTTCTTTGGGACAGATGGACGGAAACGAGCTTTACTGGTCTAGTACTTCCGCTTTGGCGTCACAGGTAAAGAAGATTTCTACAGAGCCCTGCCATAAAATGGTTCCCAAATTTCAGATTTTCTGATTATAAAATTTATCTCTGGTTTTGATGAATGGGAACATTCATTCATATTTGATGAGGATTTGACAATAAATGAAGGTGCTAGCATTAAAACAACAAAGTGATGACAGACAGAAGGACTGAAAGAAGAAAGATATACCCACCTGATTTCCACCCCTGATAATTTGGTGTGTAGTCAACTGATGTATTGTTACACGGATCATCATTCAGGTAGCTAGATATACCGAGATCTTCCATCAGTTTCTGTATAAAAGGTTTTGTCAAGCTGTTCATTACTTCACCTGCATCTGCTGTGTACTTCTCCAGAGAAAAGTCTAAATTGTAGAAATTAATTTGTTAGTAACTTGAATCATTGGTCTTTTATAATCAAATAGAAAGAGGTAAACTATCCAATTTTTAAATTAAGGAAAGGTTTTCTCAGTGCTTTTTGCCTTACTGTTACCATACATGTATTAAAAGAAATTTAATTTCTAGAAACACAAGTGTTCCAATGTCCCTCAGCACAGCAAATATCTATTGTCCAAGGGCACTAACTGTAACATTTTTTGTTTGTAATTTTAAACTTTTTCATGATAATCTGAGATGAAAGATTTGAGAGGGCTTCCAATGCAGTTTTCTATACAATTTCTATTTCCAAGGGGCATTACCCCTAAGAAATATTTGAAAGCACCGATTTTGAACTTGTCTGACACATTGCTGCCCTAAACTTTTTTTAATCAAACTGGATGGATGCACAGACACAGCATATTTCCCCCATTCTCTGATCCAGCGAGAGATAAAACTGACTTTTTGTTTAGAGTAAACAATATACAGGAACTAAAAAATCAATGGGTTGGTTTGATCACTTGGAAAAATGCTGCAGGTTTAACCTTACAACTGTTAAAAGGTATATTTAAATTTTCTTTCAGAACTAGTTATTACTATCTTCCTTCCACATTGCTTTACTTTTTCTTCTATTATTGCATATGGAAAAGCTGTCAGTTAAGTTGAATACTATTTTTATGTTTTCCATCAAAATTGAAAATTCTTATCAAATTGAAAATTCGTTAAACTTATATAAGATCGAACTTGAGTTTTTCTATTCCCAGTTTGAATGTGTTGTCACATGTTTTCAAATCCATGTACAATGTAAAATAATTATTGCTAACCTGGAATAGAGAAGTTGGCTTCCCAATCACAAAGTATTTTAGGTACCAGAGCATCTTTAAACAGGACAATTTCATACAGGCAAGGTTCATTTGACTCAAAACAAATACTCAGGTTCAAGTCAACACGGAACTTTCTCTGTATATTCAAATCTTCTATTCTATACCTAGGAAAAAAATTTATATGATCCTTTAATAAACTCATTCTTAAAGGTTATCAATTTAACACTGTAGTAAGATCTTTAAATATTGTTTTTATCGGTACAAACATTGATTTTCTCTTTGATAAATTTAAACATAACTAAATATTTATTACTATATATTTACAGTTATGAGTACTCATGATCCTACACCCTGTCAAAATTATTTACTTTCATTTTGGCATTGCACAAGGTCATGTGTTTCTCAGACTGTTTGTGACATCTTCACACTAAACCCATTAGATGTAATAGGCTTTGAACTAGCTTTCAGTAACTGCAAGAATTCATATATCGGTGCTTTGTATCTATTGTTTTAATTTAGTTTTTATTGTGTTGCACACAGATGTATTGAGTAAAGCCAATTGCAACTGTTTTTACAGTTTGTTCTTATTTTGTGATCTAACACCACTGTCGCAGGTTAGGGGAGGGTTGAAAGCTCACAAACATGTTTAACCATGGTTCATGTCCGTCATATTTGTTTTTCGTAAATTGTACTGTTTAAATTAAGCTTTCTTATTTGAATTATTTCACATTTTTCATGTTGGGGGCCTTTTATAGTTAACTATATGGTATGGGTTTTTCTTATTATTATTGTAACCTATAAATCTGTTATTTTCATCAACTCTGGTTAATAGTTGTTTTATTGGAAATCATACCACATCTCCTTTTTTTTATATATAATATTACTACATTAGACTGTCTATAAAGATACATAAGGATTTGTTTATTTCTCACATAGAATCTAGACAAATAAATGTTCTGTGGAGCAACTATATTTTTCTTTTTCAAAACATCATAACGTACATCACTGCTTACTTCAGGCATTTATTTCTATAATATTGACAGTTCATCCTTAAAATTGTCTATAAGTGGAAAAAGACAATCTTTGCAAAATGGATAACTTACCCTATTCTTACAATTCCTTTAAAATTGAAGTACTCAATGGTCCCTAAAAAGAGAGCAAGTGAAGCAATCAAACCCAAAATTCAAAATTTATCATTTGCTACTAAACACTACTAAATTATTACAATGCACATTTGATGCTTAAAAACAATGTTTAAGTAAAAGCATTCCATAGTAAAAAGCTAAGCTTCTAACTGTACAATAACAATATCCCCTTATTAAAAGAAATGGATGCCGAAAAACACAACACATTTTTTTAATGATTCTTTATCTTTTTTTATGTTTTCCATCAAAAAAGAAAATTCTTACCAAACTGATAATCTGTCAAACTTATAGGATCCAACTTGAGTTTTTCTATTCCCAGTTTGAATGTGTTTTCACATGTGTTAAGATCAATGTAGGCGTGGAATGAACGATGTAAGAAATCCACATCTATACAGCAATCCACAGCTGTACAGTGGGACGAAATATAACAGGAGGCTGGAATGGTCAGGTCTGGGAAAGGGACAGCTAGTGGACATTCTGAAATAGAAAATAATTATACAAAAAAGTTATGTTTCATCCATCCACCACTGTCAAATGTAACAGGAGGCTGGAATGGTCAGGTTTGGAAAGGGGACGTTCAATGGACATTCAGAAATAGAACAAAACAAGTGAAACTGCAAGCTGCTGCTCACTGATGATACCCCAGCCCAAATATGCATTTGTTGTTGGGTGATGAATCTGAAAAAGCATCACACGGTATAGCTGACTTATATAAACCCTGAATTCAAATTTCAAAAATCCTTATGATGTAGTTCCTGAGAAAAATATTCATGGGACTGACGAACGGACGGACGGATGGATGGACAGACGGACAGACGGACAGAGGTAAAACAGTATACCCCCACTTTTTTAAAGTGGGGTATAATAACTAGAGGCTCTCAAGAGCCTGTGTCGCTCACCTGATTCTACTTTGGTTTTGGAAATCATGTAAAAATAGATTAAAATCATAACAGATACCCTAATAATGAGTGAGGCCAAATTTGGTTTAATATTGGTCCTGTAATTTAATAAAAAATCCTGGTGGCCATCTTGAACAGTAAATCGGCAACAAAGTAGCAACACTTAATCAGCACCTCATAAGAAACATTTATGCCATGTTTTGGTTTCATTCCATTCAGTGCACCTCTAGAAGAAGCATTTGTATGTATTTCCCATAGGGTCTTATGTTAAAGGAAGTCCCCCCATTGGCGGCCATCATGGATGAAGGATCAGCTTCAAAGTAACAAGACTTGGTCAGCACCTCAAAAGGAACATGCATGCCATGTTTGGTTTCATTCCATTCAGTGGTTCTTTAAAAGAAGACATTTGTATGTATTTCCCATAGGGTCCTATGTTAAACTAAGTCCACCGCTGGCGTCCATCTTGGATTATGGATCGGCTTCAAAGTAACAACACTCGGTCAGCACCTCATAAGAAACATTCATGCCATGTTTGGTTTCATTCCATTCAGTGGTTCTCTAAAAGAAGACTTTTGTATGTATTTCCCATAGGGTCCTATGTTAAACTAAGTCCACCGCTGGCGGCCATCTTGGATGATGGATCCGCTACAAAGTAACAACACTTGGTCAGCACCTCATAAGGAACATTCATGCCATGTTTGGTTTCATTGCATTCAGTGGTTCTCTAAAAGAAGACATTTGTATGTATTTCCCATAGGGTCCTATGTTAAACTAAGTCCACCGCTGGCGGCCATCTTGGATGATGGATCCGCTACAAAGTAACAACACTTGGTCAGCACCTCATAAGGAACATTCATACCATGTTTGGTTTCATTCCATTCAGTGGTTCTCTAAAAGAAGACATTTGTATGTATTTCCCATAGGGTCCTATGTTAAACTAAGTCCCCCGCTGGCGTCCATCTTGGATTATGGATCGGCTTCAAAGTAACAACACTCGGTCAGCACCTCATAAGAAACATGCATGCCATGTTTGGTTTCATTCCATTCAGTGGTTCTCTAAAAGAAGACATTTGTATGTATTTCCCATAGGGTCCTATGTTAAACCAAGTCCACCGCTGGCGGCCATCTTGGATGATGGATCCGCTACAAAGTAACAACACTTGGTCAGCACCTCATAAGGAACATTCATGCCATGTTTGGTTTCATTGCATTCAGTGGTTCTCTAAAAGAAGACATTTGTATGTATTTCCCATAGGGTCCTATGTTAAACTAAGTCCACCGCTGGCGGCCATCTTGGATGATGGATCGGCTACAAAGTAACAACACTTGGTCAGCACCTCATAAGGAACATTCATGCCATGTTTGGTTTCATTCCATTCAGTGGTTCTCTAGAAGAAGTTCAAAATGTAAAAAGTTTACGCCGACGACGGACGACGCCGGACGACGGACGACGGACGCCAAGTGATGAGAAAAGCTCACTTGGCCCTTCGGGCCAGGTGAGCTAAAAATGGATGCTTGAGGAGACTGCCATAAATTATTCCCCTCATTACTTTAATCTTGAAATATCTTTTGACATTGCCTTGATTTCAAGAACAGTATCTATAAAATTACCATTTTTCCAACCATTGATAGAAGGACTATATACAGAGCTTGTTCTCTGACAAGGTTTATCTTGAAGTAAGCTCCCTATTCCTAACTCTTCAACTAGTTTACCAGCCATTAATTCAGTCAGCTGATCTTTACTTGGCAGAGATAACTGGTTTATGTAAGACTGCAAAGAAAATTCTGCAAGAAACAAAAACAAGAGTGAAATTCAAGTGTTTTGGAATAAATTACTGTTATTTATAAGCTTAATCAATTTTGCAAATAAGGTCAAGCTGAGGTGACAATGATATATGCATTAAGGGAAATTATCTGATCACCCTTTTTTCATTGCGCGTATGTTAGATACTACCAAATAAGGTTGAGCGCTCACTGACACCTTTATTCTTACAACATTATTTAAGTCCAGGTCAGGAGCCTATAATTCAGTAGTAGTTTTTGTCATATTTGTTTTTGTTTAATGTTTCTACGTAAATCAGACCCTTATTTTTTGCCTTGTGTATTGTCCTATTCAAATAAAAGTTTCTTAACATGCTGTATGGTATAAACTCCACAAATGCTTTGAATCATGTAATATAGATTGTTTTCCAGATATATGACAGATGCATGGATAATTGGATGTTTGTTTGTAAATACAGTTATTTTAAAACTTCATTTTAAAATTACAACATATATGAATTCCCTATTCCATACCTTTAATAATGAATCCAGTATTCCATTCACATGGTATTCTTACCAAAGTAGCACCTTCCAACAATACAGATTTATAAAGAACTGTTTCATCATCCAGTTGTATGGTGACATTGAGGTTTACTCTGAATTCATTCTTATCTTCTGTGTTGTCTATGGTATAACTAAGGGAAAAAAATCATGGGTGAGTACTATCATTTTTATGTAAACAAACAGAATGAATTCAAAATATTCCTCCTCTTTCACAGGTTAATAACACTTGCCTCATATTACTTCCTGGTAATCAGTTACATATGGTAATTGCAGGAAATTGCATGCTCCTTTACGATGTAATCTGATAGAAAATTGCGGGAAATCGTAAAAACCAGAACAGATTTCAGCCTAAATAAAAGAGTCAGAAAACTTAAATAGATAGACTATGGAATCACTAGTATATTGATATTTTCTATTGATTTTTCTACTGCTATAAGGACCTCATCCTCTATTATGGTTTTAAAAGAGTGAAATTGTGCTTCAATGACATTTTAACTCCTTTGCATGCTTGTTCTGAGGTTATCAGTTAATATAAAGCATTTCAAATGTTAGGTCAACACTTCATCAAAAATGAATATCACTAATATGTCATTAAACTTACTCTAAGGACACAAAATCAAGAAGTTTGAGTTTTCCTCCAATATCTGAAAAAAAAAGAAATCATGTATCTTTCACACTGATGAATAAATCAAAGAGCTGAAAGCTCTGAGGAAAAATAACGCCACTGTCTCTAATATTGTGATATTTTTTATGCAAGTCTTGATTTTCACATACCGTAATTAGTTTAACATTCCAACATGTCTCATAAGCATATTGTTGATATTCGTATATGTGTGTGTGTTATGTGAAGATGACAACTGGCTGTTTTTTTAGTACAAATGTATAGGTCAAGACTACCTGAATGATCTACAGTATCCAATGACTACTGGCTGTTTTTTTCTATAAATAAATAGGTCAAGACTACCACAATGATCTTCAATATCCAATGACTACTGGCTGTTCTTTTGTACTAATAAATAGGTCAAGACTATTTGAATGATCTACAATATCCAATGACTACTGGCTGTTCTTTTGTACATATAAATAAAGACTACCTGAATGATCTAAAGTATTCTAAGTAATGTGATTTTTGTCTTGCAATTACATTTTTCTAAATCAAGAATATAGACTACTAGTATCCTTTTCAAACCAAATGATTATGAAGAGCCTGTTGTTATCAAGCTCCTATACCCCACATACTCATTAAATAAGTTACTAGTGACCTAGTTATTTCTGTTACTTGAAGCAAATTATATTTCTGTAGATTTAGACAATAGTATAATATTGTTTTACTAGTTTTATTTCACCTTGAAGATTAGACAAATAGGGATACTCCTTTGATTTTTTATTTCATGTCAGTCAGGTCGCTTTATATGAAACTTGAAACCACTTCTCTGCCATATTGTTATTTCATAACAACTCTGCCCTTGACCATGTTGACCCATGTAATTGATATTCATTCTTTAACCATATATCATAGTCAGTTAGTTTTTGATTTTGCACTCCCACACCACCTTTCAGGTCAAATGTCGGTCTCCATTTAAGTTAATGACATTGAACAATCATGGTATTAAACACAATTCCAATAGTGATAATGCTGTTCTAGTAGGTCACCATATATTCAACTCGGGTAGCATTCCAGTTATTGAAATTTGTGTCAGATTAGAACAATGATCTAGACCTTTAGGAATGGATCTTACAATTTAATATGGAGCCATAGTATGGGACCCCTACA